TATATATATATATATATATATGTGTTATATGTTACATGTGTGTTTTTCTATTATAAAATCTATTTAAAACTGCCACGAGAACAAAGAAAACAAATTATTAAATATTACTGCAAATTGTATGATGTAATAACTTATTAGAACATCTTAGGTGTCCATTAGCCATTGTAGAATCAAGACCATTGATGAATAATAAAATAAAATTGGTACATAGGATTGGTCATTGTGAGTTAAGAAACAATTAGTTATGTCAACGTTTCAAAATATTTAATTCCTTTGTCAAGGCTGGAGTATAAAAACAAAAGAACAGTGTATGAGAACAACAATTTCAATAAACTGATTCGTTAATTAATTAACACAACACAAACAAAAAAATTTCTAAATTTTATAAATAGTAATAATATAATAATAACAAATTCAGTCAATACATCTACTTTTGATACCTTTGCATTAACTTTCCTCGTAATGTTGTCAGGTTACATTGCTAATTTAACATTAACTTGACCGGGAGCACATGGTGGGGCATGGAGTGCCTGTAGTGTATGGTTCATTCAATTGAACCAGTTCTTATTCATTTGCGGTTTGGGCCTTGGCGCGATTCACACTTGACGCACGATGAACCCACGTGCTTCAGTAACTTCATGTGGAGTTGGGTGTGGGGGCTTGAAATAAGACTATCTTTATGTTTATTAGTAAGGTGTATACTTTCTATATTTTGGTGTTTTATTCATCTTAGCTTACACATTTTTGTTGTTGTTGTTGTTGTTGTTGTTGTTGTTGTTGTTGTTTGTGTAGTGTTAATTAATTAATCAATTTAATGAAATGTTTGTTGTCCTCGTGCACTGTTCATTTGTTTTTACAGTCTAGCCCTGATGAGGAAATTAAATATTTCGAAATGTTGGCACAACTAATTGTTTTTTTACCCACAATGACCAATACCGTGAACTAATTTTATTTTATGGTGTCCATTACTTTCTCCCCATTAGTTTTGACATCAATTGCCATATCTACGCAATAGGTCTCAAACAGTATATTTTAGCAACACTTTCTCTGAATTCTCACAAGAGGACTGCTGAGTATTGCAGGGCTCAATACTCAGGCCCCTTCTATTACATATACATAACATATACATAACAACATTGAATCAGAAGCCGTGAAATGCTATATCATGCAGATAAAATATGTGTTGGGTTATAATTCAATGAACAATTGTTCCATTGATAATCAATCAATCAATCAATCAATGCCTTATTTTCTGGGATGAGGCTCAGGCTATGAGGTTGGCTCATCCATCTGACAACGCAAATTCTGTTATGCTCTGTTCACAGTCTGGCAGAGAAAGGAGGTACCACTCAGGGGATAAAACAGGCGATTCGAATTTGGCTCAGAGGCTCATAGTAACATTCATGCACATGATATAAACAGCAAAGCATTACATAAAAATTAATATCTAAGAAAATATTTGAAGAAATCAATAATACTACATTATCACGTAATTGTAGAAAACATAACCAGCAGTTTTACTGACAGGATAGCAGTGACCTTAACAAATATTTAACAACAAAAGAAGTTTTAACACATGGCGAAACCAATAAAATATATAGTAACATTGATAATCAATGCAATTTCTTGTTTATTTCTATGAAAAAGGATTATATTAAATAATGATTCAGATTCAAAATGTTTTGTATATTCATAATATTTTTTCAACTTTCAAACTAATACTACATTATTATATATAAAAAAGTCTTCTGAAATTTGATATTTACATTCCGATATTTGTTGAGTATTGTGACAACTATACGTAAGTCTGCCACTCTAATTTATGACACATATAAGTATTGGTAAATCACAGAATACAATTTAAATCCCATACTTCCTCAGTATTTTCACTATTGTATGATATTTTTGTTTTTTAATTTAACAAGTGCAGGACAATGTTTTGCAGGTAGCATTCCTGCTTTAAGAGTAAAAGTGGACATATGATACCATGAGAGCAACACAGTCATTGATTGTATATTATTTCCAACAAAAGAAAAAATATTAAAGGTGCACAATTCCCACCTTATCCCTCCTTGAAAAATTTTTGAGGGAAAGAAAATCTAGTTATTTAAGCTAAAATTACACGTCATTATCACTAATTGCAGTGTTGCCTGTTATCACAATTGTATCATATTGATTGAAATTGATATGATTGATAAAATTAAAGTTAAGCATTATCATATTACTGAAATTATATTATCTCACATTATTTAATATACATAGAAATCATTGCCTTTCACTGAAATATTGAACAATTGAAACGAGAGATATTGCAGATTGAAATTCAACTACTAATAAAGGACAATTCTACATCAAACACCAAGAATAAAGATGGCTTTTGGAAACGTAAAGAAGTTTTAAAAATAGTGCACATGGCTAAGTATCTATTTTTAGTTTAGTTATACATAAGCACCGTTTTCTAAAAAATGGCTCCAAATTTTTCAAAGAAAATTGCGAGGATGAGGTTTTACCGTTCTTTAATATTCATAAAATATTTCCGTTCTATTATTACAAAACAGAAAAATTAAGAAAATATCAAAATAATTAGGGCGGTTATAGATTGCAGCTGGCAGGAGTATGTGGCACGTTCGTATAGCTAGCCACGATCAAAGGAAATAGAAAACTAATACAGGAAAGTCTGTCACATTCTGTAGCACTACTATTGTTGGTATGGAATTAAAAAAAAAATAGTTATATTCTATCAAAGCCTTAAAAGTATTTATATGTTATCAAAGAGAGATGAATAAAGGGGAACACTGCAATTAGTGAAATTAGTAAAGGGGATATAAACTGGTGCAAATATGCCAAAGAGAACAATCTTAATATCTGCACACAATACTCTATCTCCCAAAGCTACCAATATCTGCTTGAAGACTGAATTACCAATACATTTACAGAGATAAAATAGGTTTAAGAACAGTCTTTGTTATCATAGATGTAAGCAATGTGGATGCCAAAAACTAAATTTTCTAACAAAATGGTAATGCAACATTGTGCACTTCATTTATATTGTTTCAGAAATTTGCTCTATACTGCTAACCAAATTTTCACACAAAAGTTTTCAGAGATTAATGATTGAATCTGCACATTCATATAATGTGACCTAATTACACTGGTCAACAAGATTTTCTTCTCAAGAAATCTGATTAGTGTATCTAGTGCATTTTTAATACTGAATTCACATATGTATTCAGAATTTTTCCATCAGACACAGTTCTTTTGCGACAACTACTTTTAAAAATCTGATTTTAAGATTCTCTTTGATTTGCCATGGGAACTTTTACCTTATATGTAGAAATTTTATTTGAGCTGAATTTAAGGAAATTATATATAATATTTTGCTGAAACACCAACAGGCAATACTCGGCAATTCATTCATCTTTTGATATGCTTAGACCAGTTAATCTAGCACTGAGGGATGTCAATATTAAGGTATGTATGAGCTTGTTAGAACTAATATCACTAGTGATATATTTCTTTTCTTTGTGTTTAGAAGTGTACACTGTAAGCTGTGTTTTAGTATTTTGTATTTTCACCATTCAA